ACAGCTGGTACTAATGACACAAACGAGACGGGGAACAGAGGCTGAACATAGGGCAGAACTGTCAAAATAAAACAGGAAACAATAGACAATTAACAAAGATGCACACTAGACACAAAGACGTGGAAACATGACAGACCTAAGAAAGCTGGATCAAAGTAAGCCAGAACCATGACAATGATATTCTGAGGATGATGCAAATTTGCAAACAGAGAAATAAAGAAATAATGCCAAATACAACACATTTGATAAGATCTCTTTATCATCAGTGTGAACATGAACAAACTGAACAGCAAATATAGCAAAAATGATTTAAATTAAAACTCATATATGCAAATTATTATTTAGTTCCTTTAAAAAAAATGGTCACATGGTTCAATAAAGACTCCAGTTTGAAAAATGAAAAAGAAAATCTGACAATTATTTCATGGTTTGGGCTTTATGGGGTTAATTTATTACATTTTTATGACATAATAGAGGGATGAGAGAGTTTAACACAGTTCCAGTGCAGAGCATGAAACTGATGATGTTGCAGAGAGTTTATAGCCACTGCCAGTTTCCAACACTTGTCCCTGGTTGGGCTTTTACATCCCCAGCACACAAATTAAATTTTACAGTATTCAAAGGTTTTCTTTTCCATCCTGGTTCTCTTTTAAAGCTTCTTGCTTTAAAAGTTTGCTGTTCCCAGCTCGATGACCTGCAAATCACTGTCCCATCGGCGCTATAGTCCTATTCTCACATAACAGGCATCTGAGTTTGTCACCATCATGAGTCTGAAAATGATGAAGAAATGGACTTCATCCAGAAAAGAAAGTCCTTTCTAATCCTCCCCCCTCTCAGTCCTGCATCCTGTACCTGTCACCTCTCTGCTCCCTTGTTCTCAAAACTCTCACCTCTACACCCCCCACCCAACTCCTTACTCTAAAACCTTCTTTCGCTTCCTTTTCTCAGTGTTTCGCCTCTCATCTTCAGCCGGTCGTTTCCCCGCTCCGCTACTCCACCTCTCCATCCCCCCTTTCCTTCCTTTCTCTCTCTTTCCTTTCTTTCTTTTCAATCAGCCTCCTCTCCACTGCCCTACATTGACTCTCTTCTTTTCATTCCCTCTGTTACACTTTCTCTCCCCTCTCTCTTTCTCTCTCTCGGCCTCTCCCTCTGATATCCAGCACGCAATAGAGTGAGAATCGGAGGAAAATGAGGGAAGCATTGAGTCTGGAATGACAGGACATAAAGAGGGGGATTTTTGGAACAGGCGATTAGCGGGAAGCAAAACAAAAAGCCCCTTGTCAATCTGGCTTATAATTCCATTAAAATCTGTAAATGTGGTAGTTTACTTTGAGAAAAGCTCCTATAATTGGCCTCAGTGGAGGCATGTGAATATGTGTGTGAGTGCGCGTCAAAGCCATACATGCACAGTAAGTGCAAAGGTTTGAGCGAGACACATGAACCTTTACATATTTTTCTCATGCATGTGTCCATCAGAGCATATACGAGTGCGTGTGCGTGCGTTTGTGTGTTAGTCTTCAGCTGTGTGTGCCAGTCTCAGCTCCCAGTTTTGGTATTTCCTGCGCAGGTTGGTACTGAAACACAGGAGTAGGCAAAGCTAGAGTTGGACCCTCCTGACTCCTGAATCTGACACAAACAGATGCTTACAAGACACACACGCACACACCTACATGCACACACTCGACACAGAAATCCACAAACAAGTGTGTTACCTAAGCCTGCGGCAGGAGAGGAGGGCGGGGAAGAGACATGACAAGACGGATAAGGGATAAGGATGGGGAGGCAGGGTGGGTGGACGACGAGGTGGGGCTTGTGTGTGTGTGTGTGTGTGTGTGTGTGTGTG